AACTTGTTTAACATGTTTGTTAGTAAGATACAGATGTGCTAAGAGTTGAGATAACCACAGAGTTATGGAGTCATACAGCATGGAAACAGACCCTATGGTTCAATGCGTCCTTGTCAAACATAATCCTAAACTAAACTAGTCCCAAACTTTTCTGAGGAAGGGTCTAGGCCCGAAACGTCAGCTTTCCTGCTCCTTGGCCTGCTGTGTTCATCCAGCTCTACACCTTGTTATCTCAGATTCTCCAGCATCTGCAGTTCCTACTATCTCTAAAAAGATTCACAACCCTGATTGAAGCCATCTCTTTAACTCAGTCCAAAATAATCAATCCCTCATCAAGAGACCATGCCCACATTCTATATTTCACAGCCAGATGGTACAATCTCCAGTGTCTACCCTTTCAAGCTTCTTCACAATCTGACCTTCTAATAAGAGATCACTCTGAATCCAGACAGGCTGACCTTATCATAGGACAACCTTCTCCTCCCAAAATGCAATCTTCACCATACTGCCTCCCAAGTAAATCTACCGTTGGATACGGAAATAAAAACTGCAAATAGTGGGACCATAGCTGGAGTTCTAATAATAGTCAAGACTTGATTATTCTTGCACTCTTCTTTCCTTGCAATAAAAAGGAAAACATGCCATTTGCCTTATTACTTGCTTGCTGTACCTTCATTTGAAAAGATTAAATGAAAAATCTTTCAAATTAAAGATTTTTGCAGTCATTCTGAATTTTGTGGCTCTCAGAACACTACCTGCTTCTGGCAGGCTGCTCCCACCGCCTCAGATGCAAAATTCCCCTTTGATCAATTACATCTTGTACCATTTATTAACTTACGTACTGTTTGTTCTTTGGTTGCGTCATTTTGAAGCTTAGGGGATTCACTTTCATTCTGTTTCACAGCAGCAGATGCTGTTGCAAGTCATAAACAGTATTGTATAGAATTGGACAGAGTGTACAGCATAGAATCAGACCATTCAGCTCAACTGGCCTATGCTAGTTTAATATTCCACAAGAGTCTTCTCCTACCCTTTCATCTTACTCTGTCAGCAGGAGCTTCTATTCTTTTCTCCCTCGTGTTTATATAGCTTCCCCTTAAGCACATCCTAATCTAAATTGTACATTGTAGTTCTATGCAATTTTAGAAAATTTTCACAAACCTTTTATCTGCATACTTTCCTGATTGTACTGTCAAAACAAAAGAAGGGAGAAAATTGGTTCAGAAGTCAGTCATTTGTCCACTCAAGCCAGACATACTGCTCCATGTCCAAGAGGTCATTTTTCATGAACACAGCTTGAATTAACAGGTTACTCCAAAGGAGAAGGAATCTCATGTTCTTCAAGCATAAAACCTGACATGGTCAGGTCCTTTTTTTTTGTGCTGAGAATGATGGACTACTGGAGCTGTCAGCTCCTATGATGCAAGAACTGGAACCTGTGTGTCAATGTGGCAATAGTAGGAACTGCAGAGTCAACACAGTGTGGAGCTGGAAGAACACAGCAGGTCAGGCAGCAGAGAAGCAGGGAAGTCTGACCTGCTGCGTTCCTCCAGTCCACACTGTTTTGCCTGTCACTGTGGAGATCACCCCAAACAAAAAAGGTAGGCAAAGTATGCCAGTAATCAGATTTAATGATCTCCTTGAATAAATTTTGATCACCTAAGGCGTTTGGAGAGCTAATGTTGTACTGTCCCTTCTTCGGAATCAAAAGCTCTGGATTTAAGTTCCACTCAAGGATTGATGGTCGCAGGTGTGTTCATAGCATTGTCAAACAGGATGACTGTCAACTTTTCAACAGCTAATCCTTCCAGCATTCCTTTGGTAGCACTAAGATTGGGAAAGTCTCCTGGTCAGCCATGCTCGATATCCCTCAACTGCCCTGCCTCAGGCTAGCAACTCATTCCAGTAAAAAAAAACTACAAAAACACAGTCATAAACTTTGGGTGCCTCATAGTATCACTAAACACGGAGTTAAAGAAAGAGTTCAGAAGGGATTTGTCCTGATTTTCTCACTCCAATTGGGCTGAGTTTTCAAATCTGATTCTACTTTTGTCTTTTCTAGTGGGGCACAAACAATTGCAGTATATTGTGATAGGCTAAATGAAAAAAAGTGTATCTTTTCTTGTCTGTCATTCTTAGACAAATACAAACCAAAACACACCCACTTTCATGATCAGCCATTGAGTAGTGATTGGGACAAGCAAACCTGGCTCTTGTTCTCTTCCTCTGTACCTCAAGGATCTGTTTTGGGGCCACTGCTGTTTGTCATTTTTATAAATGACCTGGATGAGGGCGTAGAAGGATGGGTTAGTAAACATGCGGATGACACCAAAGTCGGTGGAGTTGTGGATAGTGCAGAAGGATGTTGTAGGTTACAGAGGGACATAGATAAGCTGCAGAGCTGGGCTGAGAGGTGGCAAATGGAGTTTAATGCGGAAAAGTGTGAGGTGATTCACTTTGGAAGGAGTAACAGGAATACAGAGTACTGGGCTAATGGTAAGATTCTTGGTAGTGTGGATGAGCAGAAAGATCTCGGTGTCCATGTGCATAGATCACTGAAAGTTGCCACCCAGGTTGATAGCGTTGTTAAGAAGGCATACAGTATGTTAGGTTTTATTGGTAGAGGGATTGAGTTTCGGAGCCATGAGGTCATGTTGCAGCTGTACAAAACTCTGGTGCGGCCGCACTTGGAGTATTGCGTACAGTTCTGGTCACCGCATTATAGGAAGGATGTGGAAGCATTGGAAAGGGTGCAGAGGAGATTTACCAGGATGTTGCCTGGTATGGAGGGAAGGTCTTATGAGGAAAGGCTGAGGGTTTTGAGGCTGTTTTCGTTAGAGAGAAGAAGGTTAAGAGGCGACTTGATAGAGACATACAAGATCATCAGAGGATTAGATAGGGTGGACAGTGGGAGCCTTTTTCCTCGGATGGTGATGGCTAGCACGAGGGGACATAGCTTTAAGTTGAGGGGTGATAGATATAGGACAGATGTGAGGTAGGTTCTTTACTCAGAGAGTAGTAAGGGCGTGGAATGCCCTGTCTGCAAAAATAGTAGACTCGCCCACTTTAAGGGCATTTAAATGGTCATTGGATAAACATATGGATGATAATGGAATAGTTTAGGTTAGATGGGCTTCAGATTGGTTTCACAGGTCGGCGCAACATCAAGGGCCGAAGGGCCTGTACTGCACTGTAATGTTCTATGTTCTGCCTAGGGGTATTGATATTGTACTCAAAAAGATACGTTCTTGAACAGATTCCAAGTCCACACTTCTACTGAGAGCTTTATTTCAGTTAACCTTACTGCATAAACTCTCACCCCGCTGATTACTAGCTCCCCCTATTCATACAATCAGGATGAACAACCCAATTAACCTTAATTAATAGATGCATCATCTGTTCCCTTGTCCATCAAGTCTCAGGCACACTTTCAGACCACATTAGGTTTCAACAGTTGGAGACCAACTGTGGCACTCAGCTGATATACCTGATGAAATCAGCACAGACTACAAAAATCTTCTTTAAAAATAAACAAACAAACAAACAATAATTTATATTGTAAATGCATGAAAATATAGGTGGTCAGCTGGAATTGACACAGAATAAGAAAACAAACAGCCCAATATGTTGGGTCGAATCTGTCAGGAAAAGTCAAAAGGACAGCACTTCATACAATTGATAAGGTCTGCAAAATCGAGTATTCAGCTTCAAATAATAAAGTATAATGCCGATGTGCAGGCACTCACTTCATAGGCTGCTACGAGGTCAGCACTGAGAATTGCCATGATACATTCTCATTCAGTGGGTGCAGAGTTCCTGGTTTGTGTTTACTATGACACCAATTTTCACGATGCCTAAAGAGATGGACTGTGTTTATCATAACATCCGTACACCGCTTTAGAGTGTTCCATGTTTCTGAAATTATTAGGGATGAATACTTAATCCATAAAGTGATAGATATAGTCAAGCAGATATTAGATTTTGCGCCCATCATTTATTCTTAGAAAGTGGGAAATTCAATCTAGTAACATCACATCATAATCATACACAATAAACAGGAGTGGTGCTGATCATATTATCATCCACCCTAGTCCCTCAAAACAAGGATGGCACCTACCGAGCTCCATATGCGTCCTCAGGTGATTCAGCAGGACCAATTCCAGAGTCACAGGTGTTTGCGCTAAGAAGACAAAAAAAAAATGCTGGAGAAAAGGGTGGCTGTTCTTGAGTCAGCGTTTTGCTTTCATTCCTTTTACTTTAGTTACTTCCCTGCAGCATTTCTGAACTCAGTTTCTGACTGTGTCACTGTTTGTGGGATGAGGTGCGACAATGTTGTATGGTTTACCACTAGTTCCTCCTATTACAACGTCAATTTGTCCCATTTTCAAATGAGGCCTTCCTTGGGTCCTTAAAGCAATTTACACGACTATACATAGGTTAGTCCCGGGCTGCAACCCTACTCACAAGCGCCATGAATAGACCACTTGCGATAGAGCCACGATGTCGGAGTCCCATTGGTTGTAACTGTGATGTCCTTCCAAACATTGGGTTGCGTGCGAATGACAGGTGAAACAGGTTACGGTTGATGTTTGGTTCCTGGGGGCGAGGGCATCGACAGCCTCCTGCACCCCTTGCTTCCCCGCCGTCAGCAGCTCCGTCAAAAGTAATGCAAAGTGCTTCTCGCTGTGTAAATGATTTAAATCAATGGATGTATTGACTCTGACTCTAGTATGTGCAGTTCTTGCTATCTCCGAATCACGTATATAGTTAGTTAGGAAGTATAATACCTGCTTCTTTAACCAAGCTTTTGGTTACCTGTCCTAACGTTCCAAATTTTGCCTGATAGCTTTTCCTTCTGTGAAGTGCCTCAGGGCTTTGAACTACACAAAAGTTGCTACATAAATATAAATTGTTGTACCAGGTGACGAAAAGCCAAGTGCTTGGCAAAACTTCGAAGGCAATTTCAATATTTCTGAATATTTTAGTTATTTTATGCATATTTTTAAAAATATGACATAATATATACTTTAGTTACCACTCCATTTGGAGCAATAATAGTATCAATGGTGTAGAATAATGAAATATGTCGGCTTTAAAAAAAATTTAAAAATCACAGTTCTACATTCAAAGCATTTGCAGTTTCGATTCTCTGTCATCTTCTCATGTTTGAGGGACTCACAGGTCCATCTTAAATTTTTAAAATATGCATTAAAGAGGTTTCTAGGTAAGCACAAAAGGCAGAAATAAGGACAGGTTGAGAAGCATTAGATGAAGATGGATAGGAGGTGGTTCCTCTGGGGCATTTGGTCTGAATAGGTTTGTTTCCGTACTGTATCCTGGAAAAAACTTAATGTAACACTGTGGCAACAGAGGAAGAGCTAGTTTCACTCATTCACTCGTCTAGCAAATTACAACCATTTTTAATAGTATTTACTGTCTTTAACCAGTACAATGGAGGGGGCCCAAAATAAACATTTACATGGGGCAAGTAAAGCACCACAACCAACAATAAAGTTTAGGGAAAAGGTAGTTTTGTTTCAGATACTTGCTACATTAATGACGAGTATAATGATCAGTTGTCACTGTCCAATTCATAATTGCCATCTGTAATGTGGTTGTCATTACGCACTGTAGGTCTGTGTCAGCACTGTGCAGACTGTAGTGAACTTTGCATCATAGTTACTGATCACAGACTGGCAACTCACATCTTACGTCGTGTCTTGTATTCCAGTGACTTGGAGATAGCTCAGCATCTCTGTGTAAGTAAGCACACACAGATGTTCACTCCTATTTGTATTTGTCAAGAGTGCTAATAGAGGGAATCAAAGGCTCCACTTTCTAATCAAATTTTGTTCAAAAAGCACTGGTAATAAAACACTGAAGAGGTCCATGAATCAATTAAAGCAATGCTGGGCTGATACATCATTAGGGAAAAAAAAAACTTGTATTTATATAGAAGCTTTCATTATCAGAGGAAGTCTCAATGCATTTTACAGCCAATGAAGTAGATGTGTATGAAATGTAGCAACCAACTTGCAAAATGTAAGGTTTAAACATTTTAGCATGACAATAATAGTGACATTTGTATTTTGTACATTGACTGACATTGGCCGTCAATATGTTTCCTCTGAATTGCCCTTCTAACTGAGTGATAAGGGAATTTCCATTGATGCTATTGTGTTTCAGTTCATGCAGGAATTCAAACTGTTGTAACACCATGCATTTTTTCATGCATTAGTGGCCTCAAGTTACAAATTGGGATTATAGAAGCTCCAATATCCTGTTCCACACATGGCTGACCGGGAATTTCTCCCTGATACTCACACTGTTTGGCCACATTATGAACATGACTCCGTTGACCACCTAGTCCTGAATGGGGGATAAACCCAGTACTTCTGGCTCCGAGGCAGGATAACTAATCACTGCATCATGACACCTCCACCTGTTGCTATGGAATAAGGAGAATCAAATAATGCATTTTGTAAGATCTATTAAATACAATTATTTATGTTCATTTTAAAGCAAGGAGAATTAAATGTTGTCAAATGGTTTCAGAACAATGAATGATGTTTTAAATGGGCAAGGTGCTATTACTCAATTTTATATCTGGAATAATCCTAGATTCAAGTTAGACGAGCTTCAGAACAAAATACTCTCTACACACAAGGTTTTGTATATTCCCAACAAAAACGGAAGTTGCTGGAAAAGCTCAGCAGGCCTGGCAACATCTGTGAAGAGAAAATCAGAGTTAACGTTTCGAGTCCGGTGACCCTTCCTCAGATGCTGCCAGGCCTGCTGAGCTTTTCCAGCAACTTTTGTTTTTGTTCCTGATTTACAGCATCTGCAGTTCTTTTGGTTTTTATTTTGTATATTCCCAAACATTTATTGGGTTTGAAATAATAATAAATCCATTCAAACAGAATTAATTAATTCATTTTGGAGTATCAAAGAAGATCTGACCCATATTTTGGAAGCAGAAACTTTAGTTGCAAAAGAAAACTTCAGAGATGCCCAAAGTTTCAGCTGAGACAAACCAAATCCTCCAAAAACACTCAATTTTATATAAAAACATAATAGTTATATTATTTGCTTTTATAAAAGCAAAATACTGTAGTACTGGAAAACAAATAAAAACAGAAATGCTGGAGAAACTTAGCAGGTCTGGCAGGATCTGTAGAGAGAGAAACAGAGTTAATGTTTTGAATCCAGTTTGACTCTTCTTTAGACTTTTATTTGGTATTTGTGTTTCCCAGGCATTTTTCTGTGTGACTGTTTTTGGCATCCTGCCAACCTCAGAGTGAGAATTTGAGGTGAGGTGCATGAGAGATGATGTGGGATGGGGTTAAGGCATCACAACATGTGCATCTAATCTAAAATCACTTTTTAAAAGCCTCACATTTAATTCAGTGGTATTCCAAGGGCTCTATTTTACTTCCTTAATTCATAATTTAGTGAGGAGATAGAGGATGGTTCGATGAAAATAAAAAGTGTGATAACTTGAGCACAGGTATCGTAGGCTGGTGCTAATATAGTGTTTTTAATATAGCACATGTTTACTCAATACATATTTTGAAATATTAACATATAATATTTATAATATCCTACGTTAAAAACAGTAACTATCGATTTTAAATCTTTGCAATTTAATACACGATTATCTTACTTGATAAACATGCTAATTTCGACTGTCTACTTGGTTGGTAGAAATTCGATTTGGAGAAGGGCAGATTTCCATAATCCGGGTAAAATGCGAATTATCTTTAGAAGCGGACTCTTTCTGAAGAAGGGTCTAGGCCCGAAACTTCCTGCTCCTCTGATGCTGCTTGGCCTGCTGTGTTCATCCAGCTCTACACCTCGATATCTCTTTACAAAACCAGTTGGGCAGGAAATTGTAGCGCTACGGTTCCTATCTCTGGGCCAGAACGTGCCGCTTCAAGGGCCACTTGCCCCAGAACAGGTTGATTAAAGATATCTGCAAAACTGTTTATAGGGGAGCAGAAAACACTTAATTGCAAAGGAAGGGAGATTGCGCAGTGGAAAAGAAAGTTGGACTCCCTTAAATTATTTTTTTCTTATTCTTATGAATGGCGCTCGGTATGTACGGCGAAGGTACACACGTTTCACTGTAGTTTTACACCGAATACACGTGACAATAAATGATTCAATGATTCAAAACTTGTTACCCATCGTTCGAGATTGTGTGACAGACCTTGCAGAAATCTTCGACGCTAGTCTTAAATACAGTCCATCAAATCGTTGATAGCAGGGAACAGTTAAAGAAAATGGGGTCATACCTTCAACTACACACACGGGAAATTGGATATTAGAATTTGGTCTTAATGCTTGTTATTCCCCCGAGATGCGTGTAATTTTCACGTATCTTTGAAGATAACCTGAAGATATCATGCTTACATGCATCTTCACAGGAACGGTTTCTGTGTCCATGAAAAATGACAGGATAGTAACAACTTTTCACTCGCCAAGCGTGCGATCCACAATGTTTTTTTAAAATCTCCAAAATAATGCAGATATTTAACTATCCAAGTCAATTTCGTCTATAAAATTTCACAGGCCGATTCATAAACTCGCCAATAGTCTGTGCATTCTACAGCATTTTGGACTCGCTTTCATTTTTTAAAAGTTCGTCAAGACCTACAATTAGCAGCGTCATTAGTTTATCGGAAGATGTAGCCAAACACTCAACCAGGACGGGCGAAGTGGATTGTGACAAGTAAGGTGGTTGGTAGATACCAAAATGAAAAAAGATGGGAGTGTATCACAACATCGCGCGAGTGGGAGGGCAGCAAATCATTTACTCAAAACAGCGCATTCCACTATTGCAGCAGAGTCTGAAAACTTGGCTGTATTTGAGGCAGAAATTGATTCTGAGAATATTTCGTTGATACGAAACCCCCATCTCAGTTGTTTGCAATAATATTTGCCTTTGGTATTCAAGACATGGTGAAGTTATTTGTCGGAATGTTGGAATTAGTTTGTTCTCTCTGACATCAAAGCAAAATGTTGCGGATGCTGGAAAGCTGAAATAAAAACAGAAAGTGTTCGTGTTCCCGAAGTAAATGGGACTCGAAACATTCACCGTGTTTCCCTCCCTACAGACGCTGCCAGACCTGCTGAGTTTCTTCAGCATTTCATATCCTGAGTTTAGCCTTTCTGATATTGCTATCGACCAACAGCAGCCCAAACACTCCCGTCTTTCGCAGACGCCCCGCTGAAGTTGACCGTGTTCGGTATTAAGGTCTTGCATGGCATTCTTTCGCAGACGCCCCGCTGAAGTTGACCGTGTTCGGTATTAAGGTCGTACATGGCATTCTTATTCAGATCTGACTCAAACTGAGGCAACCTATGATCTTTCCAGGGATACTTGGAGTTGAGAATTGACACCAGTTTCTGTTTTTTTTTCTTGCACCACGTAGCCATTCACCAGTGGAGGGGGCTGGGGTGGAAATAAAGGAGTCGCCCAGCAACAGGCACTGGCAAGACCGCGAGATAGTTTCAGAAAAGTGTTGAGAAGGCTCGCTCCAGTCCCGGGGAGGTGGTGTGGGAATCTGCTTTGCTTCAAGTCTGCAGGAAGACTGCGACAGTCAGGTGTTGTGATTTCCAACGCTCCCTGAACGAACCCGATCCGATCGAGCCCCTCCTCCTTTCTCTCCTCCGCCGCTGGGATCGCATTGCAAAATAAAACATTCCGGGCGCAGCTCCGGCTTTCACCTTTGTCCCCGGGGAGTGCGCGCTCGCGGCCGGGTGACGGCGAGTGCGCGCGCGCGCGAGGGGGGCTGAGGTGGGAGCCAGCATGCGCGCGCATCCATTCCCCCGCCTCCCTACTCCCGAAACTCGACGATCCTGTTCCTCTCTCTTCCGAATGGAGCGAGGCTGAGGAGCCCTCGCGAGCTGGCGAGTGCGCGCGCGCGCACGCACGCACGGACGGGTCGAGTCCTCAGCCAGGCGCAGAGTCCGTTGATGTTTGCTCCCCCCTCCCCCAAGAAAGAACGCACCGATCGCGGCCGGAGGCAGTTGGAATCCTCCATTCGAGGTGAGGAGGTGTTGAACAAAACAAATCCAACCTCCCCCCCCCCCCCCAAACACACAGAGTAAGGGGGCTCCGATCGTGAAGCTCCTTCACTCACAGCCGAGTCTCTGACCTTAGACGCCGGCACCGAGCAACAGCCCGGCTCTCTTTCTCCATCAACAGGTTAGTGGGTATCAACTGCCAGAAGAAGCGCTCGGCTGTTTCATTCCCCCCCCCCGCCAAGGCGCAAGTTTGTATCGAGAGGAGCCTTTCACTGGGCTTGGGAGTCAGGCCTAGTCTGGGAAAGAGGTGAGAGTCGGGTTGGCAAAGGAGAAGAAAAGGCAGGCGGCACGGGGTGGTGGGGGGAGGAAGAGTCGGGCTGGGAAAAAAAAAGTTACTGGGAAATGTTTTAGCATAAGGTCGAGTCCACGTAGCCTTCTCCCTCTGGTGCCGAAGGAACTCGTCTCGGGGGAAAGAAAAGGCAGGCTATCTTAGCTCTGTATTACTAGGTTTTGGGTGTGTTGGATTCTCCTTTATTTGTCACCGCCCGAGTCTTCGCATCTAATTTACATCCTCCCCGACAAAGAAGGGAAACCAATTCCCAGCTCTGGCCTGTGTTCACTTTCTCAGTTAGGTCCACCCTTCACGAAATTTTAACCAAGTCTTGTTTCTAAACAAATGTAGACAAAACGAAGCTTGGTATTGTTGCGCGGTGAGATTGTCGGAATATCCTGGGTGGTTGCAGTTGTGGTGGAGACGGGCAGAGTGGTGCTTCTGGATGTTGCGCTGGTTCACAAGGTTAGACTGAAAATAATTCATAGCAGCGTCAATGCTGCATGATTTCGCCAGAATTAAAATGTAATAATTCCACAGAGATGTCTTCCAGTTTAGAAACTCCGATTCAACTTTTGGTAATTGGGTGCCCGGGGCGGGTGCTATCGAAGTGGAGGTGGGTTGGATGCGGAATAGAGACTTTCCTGGACGAGGGAAAAGAAGGGCATCTTAAGTTAGAGTTCGTTGGATAGCTATAGTTTTAAACATTAAAATGAAACTCGGAAAGGACACCGCCTAGAATAATTTGGGATTGAAAATACCACTGAGAACAAAGCCAAGGAGAAAATAAGAGAATAAGTCAACGGTCTTTTATGAGTATCATAAACAATGAAAGGATGATCAAAGGAAGGATTTGGCGATTGGGGACTACAAAGATCGACTTGAACAGGC